AACACACACACACACGTATCTCCCAAAAGTGAGTACACCCCTCACATTTCAGCAACCATTTTAGTATATGTTGTCAAGGGACAATACTATAGAAATGAAAATTGAATATACTTTAGACTAGTCAATGTGCAGCTTGTATAGCAGTACAGAATTACTGTCCTCTAAAAATAACTCAACATACAGCCATTGTTGTCTAAATAACTGGCAACAAAAGTGAGTACACCCTAAGTGAATATGTCAAAACTGTGTCCAAAGTGTCAATATTTTGTGTGAGCACCATTGTTATCTAGCACTGCCTTAATCCTCCTGGGCATGGAATTCACCAGAGCTGCACAGGTTGTTGCTGGGATCATCTTCCAGTTACGGTATCTTCCAAAAGTGAGTACACCCCTCACATTTCAGCAACCATTTTATTATATGTTGTCAAGGGACAATACTATAGAAATGAAAATTGGATATACTTTAGACTAGTCAATGTGCAGCTTGTATAGCAGTACAGAATTACTGTCCTCTAAAAATAACTCAACATACAGCCATTGTTGTCTAAATAACTGGCAACAAAAGTGAGTACACCCTAAGTGAATATGTCAAAACTGTGTCCAAAGTGTCAATATTTTGTGTGAGCACCATTGTTATCTAGCACTGCCTTAATCCTCCTGGGCATGGAGTTCACCAGAGCTGCACAGGTTGGTGCTGGGATCCTCTTCCACTCCTCCATAATGTCATCACGGAGCTGCTGGATGTTAGACACATGGCGCTTCTCCACCTTCTGCTTGAGGATGCCCCACAGGTGCTCAATAGGGTTCAGGTCTGGAGACATACTTGGCCACTCCATCACCTTCACCTTCAGCTTTCTCAGCAAGGCAGTTGTCATCTTGGCGGTGTGTTTGGGGTCGTTATCATGTTGGAAAACTGCCGTTCGGTCCAGTTTCTGAAGGATCTGCTTCAGAATGTCAGTACATGCTGGAATCCATGTTACCCTCAATGAACCGCAGCTCCCCAGTACCAGCAGCACTCGTGCAGCCCCAGACCATGATGCTACCACCACCATGCTTGACTGTAGGCAAGACACAATTTCCTTGGTACTCCTCACCAGGGTGTCGCCACACGTACTGGACACCATCTGAGCCAAACAAGTTTATCTTCGTCTCATCAGACCACAGGACTTGTCTTCAGCAAACTGTTTGCGGGCTTTCTTGTGAGCCAGCTTTAGAAGAGGCTTCCTTCTGGGACGACGGCTATGACAACCGAATCGTTGCAGTGTGTGGCGTATGGTCTGAGCTCTGACAAGCTGACCTTCCGCTTCTGCAACCTCTAAAGCAATGCTGGCAGCACTCATGCGTCTGTTTTTTTAAGCCAGCTTCTGTACCTGACGCACAGCATGAGGACTCAACTTCTTTGATCGACCCTTGCGAGGCCTGTTCCGAGTGGAACTCCGTCTTAGAAACCCTCTGTATGACCCTGGCCACTGTACTGCAACTCAGTTTATATTTATACACATTTATTATGTCTTTGGGAATAAGATGTTTGTACACAATAATAAGAACGTAGGAGTGCATCATGAGGAAATACATTCCAACAGGGAATATTTTATGTTAACATGATTATTGTTTCTCTTAGAAATCTGTCCAAAACCTTTTCCCATTATCCAACATGTTTGTTCTTTAAGAAGGAATCCTTTGATATTCTAACTAACCAACCAACCAAATCATTTTCCAGCATCTAAGATATTGATTCTTTAAAGGGGGATTCATTTTATTCTTTCAAACTAACTAGCTGACTAACCAACTCTTTTCCCCAGCATCTAACACTTCTTCTTCAAACAGTTATTTGAGGGGGATTCATTTTATACTACAACTATCCAACATACCAACAAACTAACCAACCAATCCTTTCCCCATAATCTATCATTTTGGGTTGAGGGGGATTCATTCAAGACTGTAACTAACCAACCAATCAAACAGTTCCCCCATCACCTAAAATTTTGGTTGTATGAGAATGATCAATTTTATACTCTAAATAATTGACAAACTAACCGACCAACCAACCCCCATCACCTAACATTTTGTTTCTTTGAAGAGGTATTCAATTTATACACTAACCAGCTACTTAACCAATGGATAACCAACTAACAAAATGGATGAATATAAATTATCTAGAGACCACACATTACTGTCTTTTGTCTGTCTGTTGATAACTTATCTGGAATAGTTACTTGATACCTTCAGAGAGAGAATTTTAATAAACACACAGCCTCTTGATTAATCAGCACTGGATGTTACTGAAACTGTCTGGATGTTAATGAAATTGACTGATACTGAAACTGACTGAATGTTACTGAAAACGGATGCTACTGAAAACGCATGTTACTGAAAACAACTGAATGGTACTGAAACTGGATGTCACTGAAACTGACAGGATGTTAATGAAAATGCATGTTACTGAAACTAACCGGATGTTACTGAAAACGGATGTTACTGAAAACGGATGTTACTGAAACCGACTGCATGTTACTGCAACGTTACTGAAACCGACTGGATGTTACTGAAACCGGATGTTACTGAAACGGCATGTTATTGAAACTGACTGGATGTTACTGAAACTGCATGCTACTGAAACCAACTGAATGTTACTGAAACCAGATGTTACTGAAACTGTCTGCATGTTACTGAAAATGCATGTTACTGAAACTGCATGTTACTGCAAACATACTGAAAATACACAAGAGCAGCAGACGGACTCCAGCTGAATCGAGTCAGAGAGAGAATTTTAATAAACACACAGCCTCTTGATTAATCAGCACTGGATGTTACTGAAACTGTCTGGATGTTAATGAAATTGACTGATACTGAAACTGACTGAAAGTTACTGAAAACGGATGCTACTGAAAACGCATGTTACTGAAACTGCATGTTACTGAAAACAACTGAATGGTACTGAAACTGGATGTCACTGAAACTGACAGGATGTTAATGAAAATGCATGTTACTGAAACTGACTGGATATTACCGTGAAAACGGATGTTACTGAAAATGCATGTTACTGAAACTGACTGGATATTACTGACAACAGATGTTACTGAAACTGCATGTTACTGAAACTGACTGGATGTTACTGAAAACGGATGTTACTGAAACCGACTGCATGTTACTGAAACGTTACTGAAACCGACTGGATGTTACTGAAAATGGATGTTACTGAAACGGCATGTTACTGAAACGGCATGTTATTGAAACGGCATGTTATTGAAACGGCATGTTATTGAAACGGCATGTTATTGAAACGGCATGTTATTGAAACGGCATGTTATTGAAACTGACTGGATGTTACTGAAACTGCATGTTACTGAAACTGCATGTTACTGAAACCAACTGAAATGTTACTGAAACTGACTGAAAGGTACTGAAACCGGATGTTACTGAAACTGTCTGCATGTTACTGAAAATGCATGTTACTGCAAACATACTGAAAATACACAAGAGCAGCAGACGGACTCCAGCTGAATCGAGTCCATTTCTTAGTTTTGTTTTGCTCACATCAGTGTGTAGTTTAGAGGACGTACTGGCCACACATCTACTCACGTGTTGTGGGACGAGGAGATCCAGTAGTGGGACAGGGGGTTGTTCATGTCCTCTGGCCTCACCTGATCGAGCTGCACGTCCCAGATAGTGTTCTCTTTAGAGAACAGATATGTGAGGAACTGAGAAAGACCGCAAAACACAGAACATGATGTTTACGTTAAAAAGCAAGCAAGCATGAGTTACTACTCTGCACTGCTCAACTGTCCAACACTAAAACGGTCTTTCATGAAAGAGTACAAAATAGGACATGGAAGTCCATGTTTCTGGTCTTTTTCAACAAAGTGAAGGAAACATTAACTAGAAAAAATGGTTCTTAAAAGACAGGAGGTCAAATATATATATTAAATAACCCATTTTGTTTTCTATTTATTTTACAAGAGTTCATATATTGTTACAAACTTTTAAAAATAAGCTTTAAAAAATTGCAGTCAAATCTCAATGTGTGTAAAAATATCTACTCCAATTAGTAAAAAAGTGGAACATGTGTCAAACACAAATTTATATAAACAGTTTGCTCAGGGAACCCTCAATATTAACCACAGGCAATAAATCATTCAACATGAAAACAGTATAATACAATATAAACTCCATCTTTTTCATGAAACTTCAATATATGCATATACCTCATTTAAATAGTTATTTTAAACAGCAGATGGAAATTCAAACACAACTAATTAAGGTCAGAAAGAGGCAGATTATGCATATCAAACAAAGATCTGAGGCCACACAGCAGGAAGTGGTGAAGTGGTTAAAACGTGCAACTGCACATTTATGGGTTTCATTCCCAGGGAACTTAAAAAATGTGTACCCAGAATGCACTAGTCACTTGGCATTCATGTTTATGTAAGCATCACCTCGTCTTGATGAAAGTATGGCTGCTCGATCTCTCGTAGAGGATCCTTCAGGTAGTGGAACATGAACTCCTGCACCTTATTATTGTCTGTAGCCCAGAGCTCCTGAAGACACAAACACACACACACACACAACAATGCATAATTACACAAACCAGACATTATTTACACGTTAATTGTAATAACATGAGAAGTGAATATCTAACCTTCTGATGTTCAGTTAGGAAGTTCTGGAAGTCCTCCAGTGAGATCTTCTGCTCAGGTCTCTCAATAAGCCTGTAAGAAACACACAGATCAGTGTTTCAGCATCACATACGGAAACCCAAGAGATGTTCTGGGATGTCAGATAAAATACAATAAATGACCATATACCACAATAGGTATAACTGTGCACAATCAGTAAAAAAATTAATTAAAATAAAAACAAAATAAAAAAATAAAAAAATAAAACAAGGTAATTGCATCTAACAATTTTAACCTCACAATTCTGACTTTTTTCTTCAGAATTGCTTGATGTAAACTCGCAACTGACTATATGCACGGTTACTTGCTGGTTTTAGATAAGCCAGCTCAGTCATTTTCAGTCACCTGTCAAAATCAGTTGCGCTATCAGGGGAGCGTCCTTTGCTCGGTTTCTCTACATAATCCATTCACAATCTGAAGAAAAGTTTTGTTTGTGTAAGAGGACCAAACGTTCACATATACAGTTTCAGGAACGGCAAACACGAGTGTAAAAATTACACAAGTGAATCCGCTAAATTGTGCCGCGACTCACTGCTGTGACTGACAATGATAAAGCAACGGACGGAACAAAACATCTGACGAGCTGCTGTCAAACAGAGCTGTGCATGCAGTGGTTCAGACTCAAGTCAGAGTAACAAAACTACAGCAGCAGCAAGTCTGTTTTACAGTTAAAGATAAAACAAAAAAAAACAAAAAAATGTAGTTAAATTAAATCTAAAAAATATTTCAAAATATACAATGCATTATTATTTAATTAATTTAGTTATACCATTAATAATGAAGTTATTTAATTTGTAGTTACATAATTTACCCCTCTAGGCTGTTGGTGTCTGGGCTTATTATTTTTTTTTAAATGGCATTAGACTTTGTCACTTCCTGAACTTGCTATACTTTATACTCCAGTACAGTAAAATTTGTTATAATAGTCATTACATAAATCCAAAAGCAAGACATGAAAAAAAAATCTAGGGAGTTGAAATGGCAGCTGAGCTAATGAGTGATCCTCTGCTGCCATCTACTGGTTATAATGCTAATTTCATGACATTTTCATCTTAAAAGTCTTTGTTTTCCGCCAGGAGACACATTTTTGCCACATTTTTTCATGTTGTCTTCATGAATGAAAAGTGATTTTTACTGCACAGCTGTAGAGTTGAGAAATAATAAAGGCTTTAAAATGTTATCAGTGTTTATGTAAAATGTGTTCATGACTATGAAGGTCAGTTATTGATCATCAAGGATATCATTATGATGTCATTTACGAGACAGCATCACTAGCTAGCTAACGTTAGCCGAAACGTTACGTTACGTACGATAGTGTTTTGTTGTCAGCATTTACGTCTCTGGTACTCCTGGGATTCGCAGACTCGGCATATAAAACTATATGTCGTTATATGTGGTTAAATAACATGAAACTGTATGTTAACACCGGTAACATTATTTGCGGTGTTGCAATTATTTTGTTTCTCAGTTTCTGACAAGAGCGAGGCAGGAGAGGTTTCTGTGAGGGTCTACACCTATATACAGTATATCACACCAAACGAGCTTCATCGGAAGTTTACGAGCTGGCTTATCTTTATGCAGAAGCTCTAAAGTAAGCGCATTTGGTCAATTATGAGAAAAAAAGTCAGAAGTTAGATTGAAAGGTCGCAATTACCCGTTTTTTTCAGAGGCTTTCACAAAATCCCAATAAATTCTTGTCAGTCCTACATTATATATCCCTAAATATTCTGTTTTACCTGTAAATGAATCATACTGTATTATGGAAGTTTAATGTGTTGTAAATGCTATTTCATAACATCTGTAAATACTTCAGCTTGAAAATAAGAGAGTGAGTAAATACCTCTGCAGCAGTGGAATCTCCATCTATAAAAACAACACAGAACAAAATGCTTATTATGTGAATAATACAATTAATACCTGATGTAAATGCACCCATTTCACAACCACTACAATAAAACACCCAGATTAACGTCTGGAGCTCTAAACCTGAACCATTTATAGGCCCGTCAGACACTAATGAACTGATGTGATGAGATATCAAACATCCACATAAAGTGATGCACTCTACACTCACACTCGCTCACTCTACACACACACACTCTACACACTCTACACACTCTACACACTCTACACACTCTACACGCACACACACTCTACACGCACACACACTCTACACGCACACACACTCTACACGCACTACACGCATCTCTACACACACACACACTCTCTCTACACACACACACACTCTCTCTACACACACACACACTCTCTCACACTCTTCACACACTCACTCTACACACACACACACTCTCTCTACACACACACACACTCTCTACACACATACACTCTCTACACACATACACACTCTACAACACACTCGCATACACACTCTACAACACACACACACACTCTACAACACACACACACACACTCTACAACACACTCTACACACACACACAGGTTTAAGTGCAGGGGTCATCAATGCCGTCCGTCTGTGTGTGTGTGTCTCTGTGTGCTTCAGTGTGGCCTAATGGCTTTTAGCCCATGGATCTTGTGGCTTTTAAAAGGCCAAGTATTGACGTGAAGGTCATTTGAGAAGCGGGGCAAATGGGGACGACTGATGGGGTTTAAGTGGCTCTGAGGAGGGCTTCACCTCTTGCCCCGGTCCACCTACATATAACTAACACACACACAAATAAACGTGTGACTTACTGATTTCTGTGCGTCAAACATCAGGCTGCGGTACAACTGCGCAAAATGACTATATGATACATCTCCATTCCTCAGCTCTCCATCCTAACCAAGATATTATATGATTAATAATACATTTAAAAACAAAAAGAAACATGCTGTACTTTTCCAGTAATTACAAATGTCGTGTTAATACAGATGAACAAATTCACAGACAAAATAACTACAAAGTATTATAAACAAACATTATGCAATAAACTATTAACGCTTCAGTAATGTGAGAAACCGAGTTTGTTACCGGAAGTTTCTCTCGTAAGAACCTCATATTGGGAACTCTGTAGTTGACCTGGCACAGCATACTTTTCAGATCCTTACAGGAAATTCTGCAGAAGAACAGAACGTGGTTATAAATCACACGGTGACGTCAGTGTCAGGTTTATGAGGAAGTTCAGCACTGTTAGCGCTTTCGTCAGTCCGGCTGATTCCTCTCATGTGTTTTTTAAGATAATAATAAATTGTTGTTGTTTACTGTTCAAAGGTTTGGGCTCAGCAAGATTTAAGCAATTAATACTTTTATTCAGTGAGGATGCATTAAATTGATACAAGTCACAGTGAAGACTTTCACACTGTTTCAAAAAAATGTGCACTTCTAATAAATGTCGTTCTTTTGAAGTTTCTCTTCATCAAAAATCCTTAAATGTGTCATGTTTCAACAAATATATGAAGCAGCTCAACTGTTGACAATAATAATAAATGTTTGTTGAGCAGCAAATCAGCATATTAGAATGATTTCTGAAGATCATGTGACACTGAAGACTGGAGTAATGATGCTGAAAATTCAGCTGCGCATCACAGAAATAAATTACATTTTAAAGTATATTAAAACAGAAAACAGTTATTTTAAATAGCAATAATTTTTCACAATATTACAGTTTTTTTCTGCATTTTTGATCAAATAAATGCAGCCTTGATGAGCAGAAGAAACCGCTTTATAAAACATTATAAAACAATCTTACTGGTCCCAAACTTTATTTATACACACACACACACACACAGAGAGACATTGTCAGTATGTACAGGTGAAGAGGCAACTTTCCATCGTGAATGGAAAAGATTATTAATTTCTACTGTGTACGTCACTTATTTGATTTAGCCACATGTGTTCTGACAAGCTGAAAATTGTCATGTGCCTCCACACGACCACCATTTCATCTGAATACAACACCTCACACAAAGCTCATGTGTCTTTCAGCCGCTCTCACTGTATTTACCTTCAGCATGTGTGTGTGTGTGTGTAGGAGTTCCGAGCTTTGTTTCCTGCTGCAGGATGTGCCGTCTCTGAGCTCTATTTACCCAACAGGAGTGTGTGTGTTTGTGTGCGAGTGTGTGTGTTTGGCCTGATAACGCCTGGTACCTCTGAGTCAGCCATTTCTACCCTTAAAACATACACCTTAACACAGACATCTCGCAAGAAAGATGAGATTAAAATAACCGCTGCGGCAGGAAAACATCTCAGTATCTACTGTATCTCTATAGAGCTTGTTATTTCCAGGAGCTGTGTGCACGGTTACACTGATATGAAACATACCTGTCTTCCCTGCTGCGATCCACTGCGTAAAACTGTTTTCTCAGCCATCTGAGTTCAGCAAAAGAACAAAGAACATACAGGTTACTTTAACGTTCACATCTGCGATTGTACGGGCCGAGCTGATTTCAGGCACTTTTACACTTGACATATGTGAACTCAGAGCTTAATGGTTTTCATCAATCAATATCTGCAGGGGAGGGGTGCATGTAGAGGTCAAAGGTCACCTTTCTATCTGCAGGGGTGTGGGGGAGCGTAGCGTATCAGACACCAGCCAGGTCAAACCCTTCACCCACATGACCATCTCCTCGTCTGAGGTCGCTGAGTGCACAGACCGGAGAACACCAGCATGAATACGTGTGTGAGTGTGAGTGTAAGTGAGTGAGTGAGTGTGTGTGAGTGAGTGTGTGAGTGAGTGTGAGTGTGTGAGTGTGTGAGTGAGTGTGAGTGTGTGAGTGTGTGAGTGAGTGTGAGTGTGTGAGTGTGAGTGTGTGAGTGAGTGAGTGAGTGTGAGTGAGTGAGTGAGTGTGTGTGAGTGTGAGTGAGTGTGCGTGCGAGTGAGCGAGTGAGTGTGCGAGTGAGCGAGCGAGTGAGCGAGCGAGCGAGTGAGCGAGTGAGTGAGTGAGTGAGTGAGTGAGTGAGTGAGTGAGCGAGTGAGTG